TAAAACGATTACTTGAAGGGACCATCTCCTCATAGTTAAAGAACCAAGTCCATTTTGACTCAAGAGAGGAAAAAAAAGACAAAAAATAACAGGAAGGGTGTAATTAAAATTAATTGATTCGAAGAGACCCTCCAGTATGTAACAAACTGCAAAAACCAGTTTGAGTTTTCATGATAATAGCCCTAATGAGGTCAAGTGTGAAGCGTTGAATTTTCTGAATTCTGTCCGTCAACCTTCAAAGTCTTCAAATGCATTAAGGTCAACGGGTAAAACGAGAACAGTTTTACCACCAGCCGTCAAGACTCTCCGCTGTCAGTGACAGTCTTCTTTGAAGGTTGCAGATGTCCATCAGCTCCCTGTATAAATTTCACATTATAAAAGGAAGGTTAACAAAGGAACTTGTCTTGAAATTGCACTGGAAATTTGAAATTTCCTTCTGGTCCTTCCGGTGTGGCTAAAAATACTAAGAGGACATGAACATCATCAGGTCTTGGCTACTTTATAATTGAAACCCTGATGTCTGAAGCGTCCATTCTTGCCATCTAACTTGGCTGGATGTCAAGATACGATCTCTATCGAAGCCTTAACGTTACTTTGTTGAGTAATGTCGGCCGCTATTTTCCTATTTTAAGCAGCAGCGGATACGACGTTCCTATTAATATACAGTACAAATTCCGCATTTCTCTCACATGTTTCAAAAGCCAGAGCCCTGCTGAATGACAGGCAGTATTTATAGTTACTCAAAGTAATTGACGATGAATGATTTAAATTGTTGCCGGCGTAAGTCACAGAAACAGCTTCCAAACCGCAGAGATATGCTGGCTAGATGTGCTCGTAGTCACGCTTTTTTTTTTCTTCTGGACTTGAAGCAAAAACAACAACAACAACTTACGCATAATCTCAAATTACTGACAAACAAATATGAAAGTTTTCATCTCACACTAGGATTTTCAAAGTTAAGACCACCTCGAAAAGCACAATAATTCACACAGAAGACAAATAATTGAACGGTTGAATGGCCACACGCTTGGTCGGTCCCCTGGCAAGCAAAATATTATTAACAGAGGACCAGTTATTAGGAAAGGTCACCAAAATATTACACCTTGATGTTTTCATGCGGATGTTATAGTCTAGCGGAAGAAAGGGAAACGCGGCTTCCTAAAATATTATAAATGTTTAATAGTTTCATAATAATAAGTTGGAGATCAAATTTGAATTCCTCATTTGTTGTTCAGCCGAATGAGGAAGTGAATGTCTAAAAAGCTACTCATATAATTGCAAAAAACCATTGTTTCTAAATAAGGAACTACTAGCATTTCAGTATCTTGAGAACTCAACTCTTTTACCAATCCCTCGTCGAAAGAGGCGAAATAAACATCTAAAGCTTAAGGTTTTCTGTTGTAAGTTTCCATTCGATTACTTCCGTAATGCTGTTCAGGAACAATTCACATATTTATCAATTTGTGAACTGCCAACGCGAAGGTTAATGGGGAGGAAACAGATTCCAGCTACATTCCACTGATAAACCTGGAAAATGCTTTTTACACGTAAACAGTGAGCTTGCAACAATACATATTGTTCTAACAAGAAATACTGAAGGTTACTACGCATACTACTTTTTGTTCCGGTTTGAAGTTTATTCTAAGTGAACAACCCGGTAAGGGAGCGCTGATTATTCTACTGACGCATACGTTTCGTGTTTCTTTGTACATACAGAAGGCATAATTGACACAAGAACATTTCCTTGTGATCAAATTTTAGATGCGTTGTAACTTTTCGTCCAATCATCATCAACAGTCCGAGCTCTCCTCTGGGAGAATAGCGCCATTGTCTTGTGTCCACCAATCTGCTCTGCCTGTTGCAGGGGAGCGACAGCTTCATTCCGAGTGGCAAAACCCATCTTCTTCTGAGCTTTCTTCTTGTTTTCGTTCAATAGCGTTGTCGAAAATGGGGCCAGCATTCATGCTGACGTTCTTCGCCTTGGCTTGTCTTGTGGTCAGCTTCATCAAGGGTGCACCACTTGTTCGATCAGAAGCACTGGCCATTGGAAAAGATTCCAGAACTCATGATCACGAGGTGAAAACAATAGTTAAGTGTAATCCATGAGATTCATCGCTCCGCAGTAAATATTACTCACAAACTTCATGAATCAATTTCAATGATCTCATTTCATGGTACCAGATATATAACATATTTACTTGTTGTCTCCATTCAGCTTTTAAAGAAAGTATTATCGTGTACATTGTTATATTGACAAGGTCTTGTCTTGAAACAATAGAGCATCAACTTTGGAAGAATCTCCCAGCAGTCAGACAAAAAGTGTATCGACAGATTTGATCCAAAAGACAACACTACAGAGTTGTCGTGAACTTAATTGAATTCAGACATGCATTATTTTCAAGCCTCGATTTTAATTTCCCTTCCTAGAATCCCAAATTTACGAATTACATCAAGAAGCTCATAAAGGGATGGCGAGTAAAAGAAGTTATGAATAAAGAAGGAGAGATCCAGCCTAAAGAAGGGCTAAAAACGGAAATCCAAGTAAACGATGCAAAGCGCAAAGGACTCGTAACTAAGGAACGTTTTGTGAGACACGCTGCACGTTGTTATAATTCATGGAGTAGATGCTTCAAAAAATCAAGGCGAAAGCAAAAGGAGACTAGAAACCAGAGGACTGAAAACGGAGAAGGTAAATACATGCCCTCCTATTTTTATTGCCCATAGGAAGGAACAGTAATAATAATATTGCTAAGGAATACTGCGCTGCACCCTAAACAGAAATCCGATTCATTAATGAACAAAAAGAGTTATAACAGCGTAATAGAAAGACTTTTTGGAAATGAACAAAAAAAAAAGATTAAAAAAAAATACAGAGTGTTATCATTCTTACTAAAGGGCTACCTATATTGATCCATAATTATGAAAATTGCGCCAATTCGANAAAAAAAAAAAAAAAAAAAAAAGGTTAAAAATAAATAAAACGAGATTAGTTAATGCAGGGAACAATACCGTATCCAAATAGATTCTCTTTCTTCTCATAACAATCTGAGCCATTGCCAGCGCATAATAAATTATATCATCTGAAGAGCCTGCTAACAAAGAAAGACAATCTGAGTCGATTTTAGCGATACATAGATACGTCTTAAACCAATTTCTGATCAAGTAGATTACCCTTGCACCTCGATAAAATGTTAGTGAAACGTACCTTTGCAAAGAAAGCTGAAATGGATAAATGGCTATATTTTATACCATGTGCTTCATTTTTGGCTCATTGTTTTATTGCTAAATGTCTTTGCTCCGAATTCTCAATTGACTGTATTCCTTAACATTCTCACAGGCTCCTCTACGCAGAATAGTGATTGATGCTGCAAACTTCGACTGCGGCACAGAAACTGCCAAGCACGTGAAAACTGAAAGATACCCACTTCGTTTGAGAAGAGAAAGTTTGACAAGCAATTATCTTTCGTATCTATTTTATTTTCTTTGCTATTGTTATTTTTTATATTAAGTCTATAGTCCTACCAAGTTAGTTTACAAGGCATCATGCAGACCCTTACGTTTGCCGGTGAAGCCTTCTTCGCTATGTCTGTGGGTTCGAGGTACAACACTGAGTATAAGCAGTTTATACTACAACCATCAGGAATCCTCGATTCGAAATTTTAGTTTAAATGCTCAAAATGATAGCTCAACAGCAACCTCTAGTTCAACTCAGTATAGACCCTTTTCATAAATATCTGCCAATGTAAAAATTATTTTGTATGCATTTAAATTAGCTACACTAAACTCGTTTGTGGGCAAAAATTGTTTTGAATTGTCAACTGAAAAACGAGGTTAGTCAGACTAATTTTAATACTTACAAGAGAATTTATAATTGGCAGCCATTTATGAAAAGGGTCTATATGACTATGCAACCGAAT